AAAAAAAAAAAAAAAAAACACTCACCAACCCCAATCAAACGTAGGAAAGCAAAAACCAGCCGCCCCAAGTAATCTCACCAACGCCAATACACCTCCAAAAGGAAAGCAAAAAGAGAAGCCGAACAAAAACATAAAAATCAGAAGAGTCACACCCCCTCCTCACCCCCCACCTCCCACCCCCAACCCAGATCACATCCAAGCTACGACAGCCCAAAGTCAGGAGCTTTCACCCATTCGAAATTTCTCAAGATTGTCTTCTCGCCACAGTGTAGCTCAGCGAGACGGATAAGTAGCCAGTGACCAGCTCGCTGCTATCTCGCCTGCGATCAAAGCACACACAGCGTCGGGCACTGCAGTCGAAGTCTCCCCCAACAAGGCCAAGATGGCCACGTCAGCTCCAGTCACATTTCAGCGCCGCTTCTCATCGGTAGTGGCAAACAACACAAAGAATGCAGATAAGAATCCACAGTCGAACAGAGCACTGGTTGATCATGAAACCCTCCGATTTTCACTGGAATCTCCGCAAATCAAAGGAGAAAAAGTAGTAAAGAAGGTTCAGCAAGACGGGGAAGAAAAAGAAATTACAGTCTGTTGCTACCCAAAGGAAAAAATTGAATCCACAAACGCCATGTACGCGAAACATGGATTAGTTTTCACTTTTTCCACCACAGGTGCCCGCCTACCAAAAATCGAGAAACGCAAGTGGATCACAAGGACAGTGCAGGGACACGAAAATCTCAGGTCCAACACCGACAAATTCTCCATTCTGGTTCTCATAAAAAACATGATGATGGTGGTTTTCAAGGACGCCGATCAGGCGTCCAATCTGATCAACAAACACACCACCCTGAACTGCAACGGGTCAGTGTGCTCCCTTTCCCGCTGGAAACAGGAGACAACACAGAAAGCCATGATTTCCCCGGCGACCGCACAAAAACAGCGACTCATGAGGGACCAATTCTGGGTTCAGTTTGATAACATCCCGATTAGAGGGCACCCACTCATCAAGGACAGACTGGAAGTGGAATGCCCAAACAACAAAGTATTGAAATGGGTACTTCCAACTCAAGAATTCCTGGCCCCACACTGTGACTCCATCACAACTGTTTTGGAAGTGAACACGGACTCGAATCCCGAATTCCCAGAAGAATGGGAATTCTGCATAGGGGAGGAAGCATCCTCGGTCACTGTCTCGACGAAAGATGGCCCCATTTGCTTCAGGTGCAGAGAGAGAGGACACCTGGGCACTGACCCAGCGTGCCCGAGATCCCCCGAACACTCCAAAGAGAAAAAACTGAGACAGAACATGCTGGTGGAAGTCGAAGAGGCAAAGGGAATTTGGTTTGTCAATGACCAGGAGTACAACGGATGGGTCTTCGACGACACCATCGACGACCCGAAATGGATCTGGATATACAACACGAACCCGTCAACGAAACAACCATATATTTTCCCCCCCTCAGATAGCAGATGGCACGCAGTGGGAGCAAAGAAAGTAACAGGTATTCCGGGCAAAATCCACAAAGACCAGATCATCGACCCACGGACGATCAGAGAAGAGAAAAAACACGAAGATCTGTTGTGGGATATGGAGACAATCAGGTCCAAAACAGCAGAAACGTGCCAGAACACCAACCTGGATAACAACACCCTGCTGCAGGAAGCGAAACAACTCTCGAACACCGCCACCCCAAACCAGAAATCCCCCCTGCACTCAAACGGATTGCTTCTCCTTCCACCAAAAATTCCCAAGAGGACAGGGCAGGGAAGAAGAGAAGGGCGACGGAGGAGGGCTCAAGCAAGACTCTCAGATCTGAGCACCCCCCCACTGTCGTTACCCCCCCCGGGACAGATCCGAACTCACCTGCGGTAACTGAGACAGGTATGGACACCTCACAAAGCAATGCGAGGCCCATTCCCTGGCTCGAAGATTACCTACAGAGAGCAAAATATGAAAGGGAAAAGGAGTTCGACATCAGGCTGGCATGCATGAAACATCTGGAAAAGACAGGGAAGCCAGCCACTGGAAAAACAGTGGCCGGAATTCCACAATCCAAGAACTTTTTCGACCTGCTGCGCATGAACTCCGAACTTTCAGAGTTCAGCGCTTTCAGATATTTCGAGAAGAAGAGGGAAAGAGAATCTGTTGGATCAGAAAATGGCACAGGCTTCGACCCCCAGACATCTGCAGATTCGATCCGTGACATGGTTTCCAAAAACTGGAAACCATCGAAGGGAAGGGACAAGAGATCAAAGGGCCCCCCCAAAGACGAAGCTTGCAGCAAGAACGAACAGCGCAGACTCACGCACGAGCTTGCAACTGTGGCAGCACAGACGAAGAGACTGTTCGACCAAAACCAGGACTACAAAAGGGAGCAAGGCGAGGAGTTTGTCACAGTCCGCATGATCGCAGAAAACAAGGCGCCAAGCGTCCCCAAATCAGCAAGCACTGATAGGGGGACCATCAGGGCGGTAA